CCCAACACGCGCGCCAGCGGCGAGCCGTCGGCGCACTGCGCCGTCAGCCGCGCGTGTTGGGGCCGCTCGTGGAAGGCGCGCGCCGCCCAGTACACGTGGCAGTCGCAGCGCAGTCTGCTGGACAGGAGCAGATGCGCGCGCAGCTCCGGCTTGGCGAGGTCGACGGCGCTCTTGTAGTCTTCGCGCGTGTATTCCAGCACGCTGACGTTGTTGCGCTGCAGGTCCACGCTGACGTTGGTGGTGCCGTAGAATTGCATGTCTGCGAACTGCCGGGGACGGTCAGCGCGGTGGGAGGGCGCGGGCCGGGGCCGAGCGCGGACAGACACTCACCGTAATATATTCGAACAAGTTGTCCGTGAGGTCAAGAGTCTTCAGTTGCGGCATATTTTCCCGCCAATCGCGACAAATCATACTGATATTCGTATTTTTCAATACGAGTTTCCGTAACAGCTTCAAATATTGTAGAGGTGATGATCCTAAAAGTACATTTTCGATTTCTATTTATTGCCATTATTAATATTTGAAACAGGAAATAGACGGAAATGTCAAGCTAAGGTCAATTTGTGGGAGAGCCATGCTTCGGCACGAATGGGCCGGCTCGACCGGAGTGATGATAACACGGCCTCACTGAAAACCGACGTGAAACAACTCTTGCATTGTGTTTCGTTGTGTCAGTGAGATCATCAGAGGCCCAATTACCCCTCCCCCCCTTCTCCAATCATCCTAATCTCTGAGTCTCCAACAAACCTCAAATTTGTCACGTATGTTACCTCGCACTGCGTCAGATTTACTGCCGCATGAGTCTTTGAGGTTGTTGTTGCTGAGGTCCAAGCTAACGAGCGACGTGACGGCCGACAGTGACGACAACACGCCCTGTGTTAACTGGTTACTGGACAGATTCAGCGACTCCAGCGAATTTGTCCTCGCAAATAAGCCGCTGTAATAATAAAGGTCAGTTTGATACACACATACAATTATGCTATTTGGTACGAGAGCGATCAGTAAGTAGATGCTCACCCCGGTAACTCCAGCAGTCGATTCGAGGATAAGTCCAGCAGCTTTAGCTGCGGCAGGTCGTCCAGCAACCCCGGCGGCAGGTACTGCAGCGCCGTGCTCACCACGCGCAGCTCCTGCAGCTCCACCGCGCCGCGCAGCGCGCCCGGCTCCAGCCGCACCAGTCGCGCCGCCGAGTCCACGCGCAGCGACCGCAGCGCCGAGCAGCGCGCCAGCCAGCCCGGCGGCAGCTCCTCGGCCAGGGCATCGCGCACGTCCAGCGACTCCAGCGCGCACTGCAGCCACGGTGCCGGGTGCGCCTCGCCCCAGCCGAACACCGTCAACTTGCGCAACGACGGCGACAGCTCACGCGCCAGCACCGCTGCTGGCAGATCCAGGGACAGCATCCGCGGCGCGGCGCTAGCATCCACGCGCACGTTCGCAGGGTCACGTACGACCAGGTAGTCCAAGCGCGGCAGCGCGGCCAGGTCCGCGGCCGTCACGTCCATGCCCATGCGCATGAGGCTGAGCGTCTCCAGCGAGGCTGGCAGGCGGCGCAGCTCGCCGGGTGCCGTGCGCACGCTGTCCAGTAGCAAGTACTGGAGCTGGGACAGCGCGGACAGCGCCCCGGGCGCCAGGGCCGCCGTCAGCAGCTCCAGTTTGTGCAGATGCTGGAGCTGTGCGAAGTGTGTGGCCGTGAGATTGCCAATTTTGGTCAGCGTCATCTTTTCGAGCACAACCACGTTGAATCTCTCGAGCACGTCGGCGTACGAACTTTGTGGCGACGGACAATCTTCAAAGTATACCTTATTTACGCGTAGTTGCGATTCAAAAGTAGGTAATGCTGAATTGTCGAGTCTCAAACCTGCCGTGCATTTTAATTTAAAGTAGCCACTGTCTGTATATTCAAGATAGACTGTGAAACCTGTTGGAATGAAATATTTTTTTAATATAGGTAATTATATCATTATGAACTAGACATACAAGGTGTCCCTGAAGTCGATGATCAAATGGCACCAGGTGATCGGCAAGTTTCAACAGTTATCAGATAAATTTAGAAAAAAATCCAAGTCACATAGTTTTTAAATTACAATGACTAAGGTGTTATCCACAAAAAAAGCACACCAGTGTCAGTCTTTTGACATTTATTGTTTCGTCTGTATTATGCTTACGTTATTTTGAATAGTGCTTTAGTATTATGGAATTATAAATTCTGGGCGAACTGCTGTAGTTTGTAAAAGAATATTTTTTTTTGTTACATTGTACAGTAGTAGTAAATGCCGTAATGTACACCTCTGCCTACCCCTTCGGGGATTTTTTTTTATTTTAAGGGGGGAAAATCATGCACCCAAATCGCACTTAACTCGTCGAGTACCGGTTTTGTAGACACAATTATAGAACAATAGGTTGCGGTCACCGGTGACCGCTTGGTGTTTGACAGTTTAAATGCCTCCATTCCACTAGGTTATCGTATCCACTAGGTTTAGTGAGATGTGATTCACAATATTTGTTCCTCTAGCAACAAGATTGCTGATGAATGCTGCGAGTGAATCATGAGTAGATACCCGATATGATTTAACCAGAGATCCTCGCCGTTTTCCAACATGTTTAGCAACATGATGATGTTATGTCGCGCCCATATATATTTGGTGTTGGGAGGAAGCACAAGATGCTATTGGTGTCTTTTGTGACCTCTCAAAAGTGTTCGATTGCGTTGACCACGAGACACTTTTGCTGAAATTAGATCACTACGGGATCAGAAACATCGCACTCTGTCTAATAAAGTCTTATTTAGAAGATAGGCAATTAAAGGTTCATGTTAACGGTATTAACTCGCAGGGCTCTAGGATGAATATGGGCGTTCCACAGGGTTCAATATTGGGTCCCTTTCTCTTTTTAGTCTATATAAATGATATGCCATTTATATTCAAGAATGAACCAAGAATGGTGCTTTTTGCAGATGATACTTCATTAATTTTTAAAATACATCGACGTGCTAATAATCTTGACGACGTAAACAGCTCCATTCTTCGAGTGCAAAATTGGTTCACCATTAATAATCTAGCGCTTAATGAGAAAAAAACAAAATGTATTAAATTTAGTTTACCAACCGTCCGAAGTAATGATTGTGATGTTGTTTTATACGGCCAAAAGTTAGAATTTGTCGACGAGACGGTATTTTTAGGCATTACATTAGACAATAGACTACAATGGGGCCCGCATATAAAGGCGCTTTCGGGGAGATTAAGCTCAGCTGCTTTTGCAGTTAGACAGATTAGACAGCTCACGGATGTGGATACGGCAAGGCTTGTCTATTTTAGTTATTTTCACAGCATTATGTCGTACGGCATTTGGTTGTGGGGAGCTGCAGAAATAGAATGAATTTTTATTCTTCAAAAGCGAGCTATCCGAGCAATATATAACTTACGCCGTTGCGAATCACTAAGAGAATTGTTTAAAACGAACGTAGGCAATTGTTCGAAAAAAGAAGCGATAGACACAATCTTAATACTAGAGGCAAGAATAAGTTAGCTGTACTGCAATTCAGACTGTCCAAGGTACAGAAATCCTTCATGGGGTTATGCGTTAAATGTTATAATAAAATACCAAGTAGCATACTAGATCTTAATGAAAGCAAATTTAAAACATATATCAAGCGCGAATTGTGTAAACAAGCTTACTACAGAGTAATTGATTATCTTGAGGATTTTTTTATAAGGGGGGAAAATCATCGAATGACTGCTCCCGCCTGGGTGAGGCGGGAGGGAGTGTCAGACTCTTACTGACTAAAAACCACCCCGTTCCTTCTCCTGCACGTCGAGCCGGAGCCCCGGTTACCCGTTAGGTTCTCCGCGAC